ATGTCTAGATTAATGAAAAGAAGGACTAGGAGTGACATGATAGCAGTGTTCCGATATCTAAGGGGCTACTGCAAAGAAGAGGTGGTCAACCTATTCGCCAAAGCACCTGAAAGCAGGATAAGAAGCAATGGAAGGAACCTTGGATGTTTTATAGCCCAACACCCCCCACCCCCACCCCCCCCAAGCAGGAAACTGTATACCATTTTAGACAAATGGTTGTCCAATCTTTTCTTAAAAACCTCCAGTGTTGAAGCACCCACAACTTTTGAAAGCAAATTATTATACTGATTAATTGTCAGGAAAATTTCCTTTAGTTCTAGGTTGCTTCTCTCCTTGATTAGTTTCCCTCCATTGCTTCTTATCCTGCTTTCAGGTGCTTTGGCGAATAGGTTGACCACCTCTTCTTTGCAGTAGCCCCTTAGATATCGGAACACTGCTATCATGTCACTCCTAGTCCTTCTTTTCATTAATCTAGACATATTCAATGTATGCAACCATTCTTTGTATATTTTAACCTTCAGGCCCCTAATCATCTTTGTTGTTTTTCTTTCCACTCTTTCTAGAGTCTCAACATCTTTTTTATATCTTGGCAACCAAAATTGGATGCAATGTTCCAAGCATAACCAAGGAATTAAAAGTATTAATAGTTCACATGGTCTTAATAATAATCTTGATAATAAATAAGGGAACAAAATCTATTACTGTGTTAACCATTAACATTATCCCTAAGTGTAATAAAGATATGAAATATCCCATAACTCCAGCAGACAAGGTTCTTCCTGAAAAAGAAAATGCCTGAAAACAGAGGTGATCTAGTCTGATTACTCTTGATAAAGCATTCCAAAGAATTGGAGCAATTGGCAACAAGATGTTCTCCTGCATTTTTACCAGATACATCTCCTAAATTTTAGTACCCAGATAATAAAGTTATATTGAATATATTCATGACCACCTTCACTCTATCAATTCTTATGTTGGTATTGACGATCTGTATTATCATGTAATTTTAAAATGTAAAGAAGCATGCAAATATTGGGTACTGCTGGCCGAGTTCCTTGCCTTCACTTAATTATATTCCTTCCTTCCTCCCAATCCTACATTTGAGATAATCAACACATTTGTCATGAAATCTCAAAAGTGAAAAATGTATTTATTTATAACACAGGCAATTGCAGTCCCAAGAAGAACACGGTTCTTATCCGAAGCTGCCCCATTTTCTGATTTCCTTACTGACAGTTTTGGACGCCAGCATAACTATTTGAGAATCTCCATAACTGAGAAATGCAACCTCAGATGTAAGTATTTCTACTCTGAATATAACTTAATTATAAAATGCAAAGTTTTGTTTTCATAACATCTTATTTGTGGACCTACTGTATGTTTAACAAGAGTCCTAACAAGTCCTAACAAGAGTCCACACACTGCAATCCCAAAACTGAATTTGTTTCATTGATGCTGTTTCTTATATTAATGGAAGCTATTCCGGCCAATATCTTAAAGAACATTCTTTTACTGCAGATTTAAATAGATTATGAAATTTGAAACAAAACTGTTGGAGGAAACAAAAGAGCAGATTTGTTAGAACATATTCTAGTCCAACTTGTTTGGCTAACATATCTTCTTTTCCCTGGAGCAGCTGGGAACCTGATATGATGAACCCTTATCACTTTCGTTACTAAAGCAAAATACAACAAGTTGGATTTGAATAAGTATTGGCACTGTTTGGAATTGTCTCGTATACATATGTTTTAGTTATGTAACCCAGAAAAATATATGAATAACAAGAACAAGACCTTAAAGAGTAATTTTTATGATATTAGTATCTTGGAACTGCAATCCAATTTACCAGATGTATTTAATGAAGTGAATTGCTAATTCATAAAAGTTACTGCAGGGTTTTCTACCTGGGAGCCCTACAAAAGTGCTAAATCTAAGGTGCCAGAATTCTCAGCAAGACCATGCTTTCTGTAGAATTCTTGTAGAGCTGAAGTCTTCACATCTCAAAACTATACAAGACTTCAAGCATATAAGGTGCCCGCCTGTAGTATATTGTGATATGTAGGTATTTTTCCATTCATTTACACTCTGTGGGTTTCTTTAACAGATCATGGGAGGGAAAGTACGTTAAAAAGAATGAGAAAGTAAAATATTGTAACCTTCTTTGGAAATAGTTTGCTTCTTATTAAGTAATTTGAAAACAGGCATGTCTTAAAACTCTTGACTGCATGTTTCAGGTCAGTATTGTATGCCAGAGGAAGGAGTTCAGCTAACACCCAAATCCGAATTGTTGAGCACCCAGGAAATCATCACTCTTGCCGGGCTCTTTGTGAAGGAAGGTGTGGACAAGATCCGTTTGACCGGAGGAGAACCTCTTATCCGACCTGATGTGGTGGACATCATAGGTATACTTGTTAAGGATACTATGGGTATACTTGTTAAGGATACTATGGATACCAAGAGCCGTGGTGGCACAGTGGTTAGAATGCAGTACTGCAGCTAATTCTGCTGACTGCACACTGCGAGCAGTTTGGCAGTTCAATTCCCATCAGCTCAAGGTTAACTCAGCCTTCCATTCTTCCAAGTTGAGTAAAATAAGAACATAAACTGTTGGGGGGTGTGTGTGTAATACGCTGACTCTGTAAACTGCTTAGAGAGGGCTGTAAAGCACTGTGAAGTGGTATATAACTCTAAGTGCTAT